TCTTGAGATTCTCACTTGCTGTGCAGAAAGAGTTGCTGTAAACTTTAAAATCTCAGAAGCAATAATGGAAGGGTTAAACAGGTTTATAGATCAGATATGTTTTAAGCCATTGTGAATAGGGAAACACGAAAATTATTTTAATGGAAATACTTCTATCCCAGTGTGATGTGTCTCAATACTGTTTATTTGAACTCTTTATTCCTAATGAAGACTGCATCAGCTGTTCATCATCATGGTAACTGAATAGCATTTTTGTTTTCTCCAGTCTCCAAAATATGTTGGGTTTCAGCAAATTGTTTCTACAAGATGCAACAAGACTTCTGTGAACTTATAGAAGCATCTCTAAGTATTGGATTTCCTTAAATATCAGTATACCCTTCTAATCAAGCTCTTTAGCAATCTCCTGTATGCAGAGCAAAGACTTATTTTCTAATTTGGTCATTTATATATTTTTACTCAATTTTTTTTAAACAATTGGTATGTGGTTGTCATGTGGCTTCTAACCACCACATTCCACCATACAGTAGCACCCCTGTTGCAGTGTGTGTTTGGGACAAAGTTTGCAAGAGGAAGCATGTTACAGTTTTTTATTATGTAATTTCTCTTGTCATTTTCCCACATTCTTCCTGTGTAACTTGAATCTTGCAATTTCATTATATTGAAATTTTTGAAGATACAGCATGAATATTTGTCCTCCTGTGTGTTTACTGTCATGAGGTTTAGCACTGAGGACAGCAATATTATGTCATCTTCTCATATCTGGTCTGCTCCACAGGGGGTCTGTGCTCATCTGGAATAGGCTGGACTAAGAAATCAAGGGAATGATGTTCAGCTTCAGTGCTTCAAGTATGCATCTTATGAAATGCTTTCACTTTTGAGCATCCAAAACTATTCTTCTCAAACATCACTGTTCAGATGAAACGTTTCATTTTTTCTCATTTTTGCTTTGATCAGTTTCAGTTGAGAACAGAAATAAATTCTGTAGCAGCTAGATTATCAAGAGTAAAGTAATAAATTTAATGATCTTATCAAAATTTGAATATAGTAAACTAAAGAACTATTATTTCATTATAGGAAGGCTATATTATTTATTCATTGTTCTTTGTTTACAGTGATGTGGTTGGTTATTTGTGAAAGGAACCATGTCTGTCTGTCCTTGGGGCCATAGAATATTCCCAATATCATAATATTGTTATGAGTAATTTTAAAAACTGAGGTATTTCTTAATACCAAGAAACCTCTTGGCTGTTTCTTTTATTTTGTTGCTGTCCATGTTAGTTTGCCTTATGCATTAGGGATTAGTCCAGATATCCCATGCTTTTAAAAAAAAAAAATCATAGTGACTATGATGGAACAAGAGTGCTGATTAAAACTAACACAACCTAATATCTGTGAAGTAAGATGATGAAAGCTGCCTCATCCAGACTTGAAGAGAAATATTGACTTTTCATATGAGGCAAGTCTCAGAGTATTTTTCATTTACCAGACCTTCTACTTTTACTATTTGAGAACTGTTATATTCTTCTATGCCAAGTGGCATGGCAAGTAAATCTAGTGGAAGTAAAAGGAATAAAGTATAAATGCAAGTTAAATAACAAGTATACCAGACCCATCATTGTATTTTTACTTTATCTTTCCTATTTTGTGGTATAGAGCCTAAAAAGTGGCCAGAGTTATCAAATAAGAAACTTCTCTGAAATTGTTTGCCTATTTAAACTCTCATCCCTTCAGAAACCTATCCATTTACCAAATTAAAGATTAAAATGGCTCTGTTTTTAATCACTAAGTTAAGTTGTCCTATTAAACACATCTAATGCTTTGGCTTGATTTACACTTCCATGGTGAAGCTGAGAATCAATTTTGGGTATCCCCAGTCAGGCTTCTCTTTGCATAACATAAGAAGCTTCTGAATTGTCTGTAAGAGGAGTGTCTCTAAAAGCCTGGTTAGTTAAGCAGAGCCATGGCCAAAGTCAATCCAACTTTGAAGTTTATAGCTACAGTTAATGTACATACACTTCCTACAATAACTAGAATAACTACAGACCAGACATAGTACTGACTTAATGATTGATTTTACATTGTAAATTAATAGCCAGTCACTTGACCCTAATTTTCCTAGAAAAATGCAAGACCCTACATGCATGACTGAAACAATCAACACCTTGCAGTATATTAAGACAAATCTCATGGTGGTGTTAAATGTCATCTGTAAGATGTTTTTGAGCCTTCTAATCAACCACAATAGCATATGTATTATTCTAATATCACATCTGTAATGCTACAAATGCAAGCCTGTACACAGTTGCTTTGAACTATTCCATTTGCAAATTGTGAACTGTACAAGCAATTTTGAGCATGTATAGTCTTTGATAGTCAAAAAACTTTTCATAGACATGTTAGCACTTTGTTTTACCTTCTTTCCATATATTCCAATTTCTTTGTTTCATTTATTTTTTTCTCCTTTATTTCCATGATGAACATTTGCATCTTAAAGCATAATTTGTTAGGGCAGTCTGGTATCTGTGCTAGCGTTTCAGGATCCTCTCTGGTCCCATGGAACTGCATGGGAATCCAGAACTGCTGAGATACAAAATATGAACCCTTGAAAGACACAATAAGGGAATCATTTGCACTGCAGAAACTTTGAATTATTTAATTGGCATGTGTGGGTGGGAAATAGCTGATCCAGAGACCTAAGCTCTACCTTATCTTTTCCTTGAATGCTCTGGGAGGTAATAATTTGCTCAGTTATCTGTTACATTTTTACCAATTTTCAGTATTTTCAACAATTTTGCACATCAGAACCAGGCACAGTTTCAGCAGTGATGCCATCAGTGCGAGCTACAGGGATGATATAGTCTGTTTACTTATGTTGATATCCAGCAGTTTTATTAGATAATTTAACCATAATGCTATTGTGAGGGTTCCAACTCAGCTGATTATCCACCAAAATCCTCAGTCATTTCAAACGGCTGCCTTGCTGCACAGAGTCTTTCCTCCTGCATGCATGTTCCTTACTTCTAAAGGTGTGACTTCATTTTTGGCTGTTTTAAAATGCATGTTTTATGCAAGTGAGCTGCTCATGTGGCTTTGTCAGTGGCTTTTATTTTCATTATTTTCCACTCCCCCAGATTTTGTGCCATCTGAAAAAATTTGAGTAATTACTTTTATGCTTTCTTCCAGACCATTAACAAACATTTTGAATAGTATATAGCTAGGAGATGATCACTGCAAGACCACCTTGAAAAACAGACATTTAATGATTCACTGTGGGAAATTAGATTTTGAAACATATCAGCTAAATCCATCCAACATTGATCTCATAGTGTTCTAGTTTCTTAATCAAAATGTCAGTGCCATATCAAATGCCACACGCAAATCTGGGGAAGTTGCAACATCGCTATTACATTGTTCCACTGAATTTGTAATCTCATAAAAATGTCAGGTTAGTTTGATAGGGTCTAGTTACCATAAATCCTTGTTGATTGACATTAATTACATATCCTTCTTTTATTAATCAGGTACCATATTAACTATTTATTCTATCCAGAGCTAGTGTCAGGCTTACATGCCTATAATTACCTAGATTGCCTCATACAAAGCTGTGCTAAACTATGGCATGACGTGGTTCTGTTTCTGTAAAGCTCTCTGTTTTAAATAATCTCTAAATATAGGTGGCTTTGTTGTGTTTTGCCACCAGTGCATTTTCTGAAGAGCGGAAAGGGGGACCAGTGCCTATAACATGTTGGAATAACCTATGAAGGTGCTGTGACTGTATTACGGTAACTTTTCTAGGCCTTGAAATTAATGTCTTTCACAGCAATTACAGATTAAAAATGCTTATTTCAAACACTTGATTAGTGAAGAAACGAGGTAGTTGACTTTTCTTAGTCTTTAAAGATCATTAATGTTTTTGACTTCCTTGCATTGTTGCAAATTATTTCAACTCTACATTTCTTCTCAGTTACCTCTTAGAAAACTAATTGGAATTTTTTTCTTACAGATATTCTCAAAGTAACCTCATTCTGGAGTAGATCAATTTTTCCTTTATAAAGAAATTATGTTATTCTGCTTCTTGGTGCAGAAAAATCAATGATAGGTAAAAACTGAATTATAAAATAGAATTAATTCTATACAAGGATGAAAAAGCTAAATTATTTATCTTGGAAAGAAAAGTTAAAGCTTTTAAAATTAAGACCTATCCTCACTGGAAGAAAAAAAAAGAATACTTATGCATTCTTTCCCAGTGTAGAAATACAATATTTCCACAGTATATTGAACATTTTTTGTGGGCCACAAATGGTGTCTTCATCAAAACCCACCACCAGTAAACATAAGTATGATTTAGAACAATTGATTATATAGTAAATGATTTTTTCTTTTGAATTTTTCCTTAAGCTTTTTTTAACCAATGCATTATTTTTGGCACCAGAAAAAACCCTAAACCTGAAATCAAGCCTGGTCTTTGGATCTGTTCTTATGTTTTCTTATCTTGCCAACAGAGTGTAGAGTTGCTAATAGCTTTTGTGAGCTGGAATTGTGTAGACATTCTGGCAAACCTAGATGAACTCATGCATTTGTACTCTGTTGAATTGTCTTGGGAAGTTTAGCTCACCTTGTGTGTATTGCTACCACCATTTCTATTCACATGTGGGGAAATGTCACAATCTTGTAAAAGATCAAACAAACTATGCTGAACATTATAATGCTTTCCTCAAACAAATCCTCTGCTCTTTGATGTTCTTGAACTGAACTGCCACTGAAAGAAAAAAAAATTAAAAAACAATCCTTTGCTAATTATTTTTTGCATCTATGATTCAGTTCCAGAAAACCTTATCTGAAAACATGGGCATTAAGCATGCTTTCTGTGATTCTTTTTTTTTTTTCCAGTGTGTTATTCTGTCTTATGAAGAATTACTTTGAATGATTGTGCTCAGCTACCAGGTTTTGCTGGTCCTTCAGAATTGGCTTTTAAAAGTAAGCAGTTGTTTTGAACACAGCTTCAGATCTCCTTCAATGACAGAGCTCTTGAAAATTCTTCAGATGGTGTAGCTGCTTCATCATTTGATGAGAGGCAGTTTCAGGTGAGCTGAAGACTTGTCCTGTAACAGGAATCAGTGAGAGTTTTGGCAAGACTGATACCTTAGAAAAGCTGTTGACTTCTTAATCTTCAAATTTTCCAATGCTCCTGGATTCACTGAAAAAGCAGATAATGCTATGTAAATGATCATTTTCATATCCTCCTTGAGACTGTCAGTATCAAGGGTCTGATGTTATAGAAAGCAAGTAGAGCACAGCCTGTGTTCATCTGAGTAAACTCTAGATCACTCACCCAAAAATCCCATTGACTATGCTGAATGGTAGACAGTATTCACAAACTAAAACTTAAAAATATTACAGATGCATTTACATTCAGAGATTTTACTTTGAGATGTCTGAAAAACATGATGATGCGCTGCAGCAAGGAGCTCACTTTATACCCATGTTGTATTGGCTGTTATAAAGACTTAACATTTTGTGATTATAACATCCCTGGTTTGGCCTGATACTGCATTGTTTTCCAGTTATTGTGATGTTCAAAACGACCACAGGGAGATTCTGCTTTGCATGGTACATAATTAAACTGTAGAACTCTTACCATGATGTACTGTGGAACTTACAGTGATTTCAGAAATTGACAAGCTAATGAAAGCAAAAAATCCCTTGAGAACAAATAAATGTGAAGAAACCCTTTCTGTTAGGAAATCTCTGAGCCACAAATTGCTGGAGCTTGGGAAACATACTCTAGGCAAATACCTCTTTAGGTTTGTCTGGTGCGTTGGATTTGTTTTGGGATTTTTTTGTGTATTTTTAACACACATTCTAGGCATCTACTGTTATACTGTTAACTTCCTAGAGACAAGGTACTAGGCTAGATGGACTGCTCTACGGTCTAGTGTGGCCATTGCTGAAATAACCAGATGTTACCAGAACAGACTTCTTAGAGAAGCCAGATATTAATTTTATATGTACTCATATATAGGATAAATATGACCAATATATTTGTCACAATCTATATAAAGGTTCTATTTTTCAGTTCACACTCTGTGTGTGTATGTACGTATGTATTTCTTGAGTCTTAGTTACACCTAGAATGAATACTAAAGGGAAGTGGACTCCAAATTCAATGTATTGTATTCTTTATGCCAGGGAAGAAAGTGGAAAGGAGAGGAGATATGTGACTCCCACTGGCCTGAGTTATTGCTATAACATAGTCCTGAGCCTAGTAGTGGCAGCAGTGCTACAGTTACTCTATTAATGTTGTGTGTTGCTCCACAAATCATTTCTGCAAATTATTTGGAGGAGATTAGACCCTTTGTGCATTTGATCTATCAGAGTTTTAGAAAACTTGCAGGCATTCAGGGACCTAAACAAATTGGGAAGCAGTAATTGAAACCAATGAATGAAATGCTAATATAAAACCAGAGAAACAAACTCAAGAAGATACAGTAGAATCCACTCCAAACCCTAACATTGTGCTTACTCTGTAACTTGTTTCACAAATTGGACCTCCTTTTACTTTTTCAAATACAGCTTGGTTTATACATACTTCTGCATGCACTGTGGCAATGTGTCTAATGTGTTTGGGGACAGCTTTTTGTAATTTAGTGAATTTCAGTAACACTTTCACTGAATCTTTTGTTGCTCACTTCCCATGACATAAATAACATGCTACTGTCTGCAGCTGTTGCAAATTCATTACTGATGAGTGAAACCTTGGATTTCTACTTAAGCATGCAACATCTTGCAATAATCTATCAGCCACCAAACCAGATGAAGGTCGGTTTGTTAGTGAACAGTATGGAGCTTTTCCTGGGACTCTGGGGGGGGAAGGAGAATTTATCACAGAATCACAAGGGTTGGAAGGGACCTTGGGAGATCATCTAGTCCAACCCCCCTGCTAAAGCAGGTTCTCCTAGAGCATGTTTATGGTTTATGACCTTTAGAACAAGGGGCAGGCCACTCAAGAAGAGTAGAGGGATCTTGTTAGATCATGCAGAGAGTAAATTATAAAGGTGAAAGCCCAGCTCAAACTCAATCTGGCCAAAACTGTAAGACAGAAAAAAACATGTTTTTACAAATACACTAACTAAAAAAGAGCCAAGGAGACTCTCCATCCTTTAGTGCATGCAGGGGGGGAACATTGCCACCAAGGATGAGAAAAAGGCTGAGGTAGTTAATGCCTTCTTTGCCTCAGTCTTTAATGGCCTGATGAGTTATCCCCAGGGTACTCAGGCCCCTGAACTGGAAGACAGGCATGGAGAGCAGAATAAGCCCCCCATAATCCAGGAGGATTAGTGACCTGATGTGCCACCCAGACGCTCATAAGTCTGTGGGGCCAGATGGGATCTACCTGAGTGCTGAGGGAGCTGGCAGAGAAGCTTGCCAAGCCACTCTGTCGTTTGTCAGCAGTGCTGGTTAAGCGGGGAGGTCCCAGATGACTGGAGGCTTGCCAGTGTGATGCCCATCTACAAGAAGGGCCAGAAGGAGGATACAGGGAACTACAGGCCTGTCAGCCTGACCTTGGTACCAGGGAAGATTATAGAGCAGTTCACCTTGAGCATGTTCACCAGGCATATGCAGGACAACCAGGGGATCAGGCCTAACCAGCATGGGTTCACGATAGGTGGGTCCTGCTTGACTGACCTGTTCTGCTTCTGTGACCAGGTGACCCACTTGGTGGATGAGGGAAAGGCTGTGGATTTTGTCTACCTGGACTTCAGCAAAGCCTTTGACACCATCTCCCACAGCATTCTCCTAGAGAAACTGGTGGCTTATGGCTTAGGCAGGTTTTACTCTTTGCTTGGTAAAAAAATTGGCTGGATGGCCAAGCCCAGAGAGTTGTGGTCAACATAGTTAAATCCAATTGGTGGCCGGTCACCAACAGTGTTCCCCGGGGCTCAGTTCTGGGGCCAGTTTTGTTTAGTATCTTTATCAATGATCTGGATGAGGGGATTGAGTGCACCCACAGTAAGTTTGCAGGTGACACCAAGCTGGGTGGGAGTGTTGATCTTCATGAGGGGAGGAGGGCTCTGCAGAGGGACCTGGACAGGCTGGATTCATGGGCTACGGCCAACTGTATGAGGATCAACACCGCCAAGTGCCGGGTCCTGCAATTGGATCACAACAACCCTATGCAACGCTACAGGCTTGGGGAAGAGTGGCTGGAAAGCTGCATGGCAGAGAAAGACCTGGAGGTGCTGGTTGACAGCCAACTGAATGTGAGCTAGCAGTGTGCCCAGGTGGCCAAGAAGGCCAATGGCATCCTGGCCTGTATCAGGGATAGTGTGGCCAGCAGGAGTAGGGAAGCAATTGTGCCCCTGTACCCCACGCTGGTGAGGCTGTGCCTCGAATATGGTGTTCAGTTTTGGGCCCCTCACTACAAGAAAGACACGGAGGTGCTGGAGTGTGTCCAGAGAAAGGCAACGAAACTGGTGAAGGGTCTAGGGCACAAGTCTTCTGTGGAGCAGCTGAAGGAACTGGGATTGTTTAGTCTGGGAAAGAGGAGGCTGAGACCTTATTGCTCTCTGCAACTACATGAAAGGAGATTGTATTGAGGTGGTCTCTTCTCCCAAGTAACAAGGAATAGAGCAAGAGGAAATGGCCTCATGTTATTGTAGGGGAGCTTTTGATTGAATATTAGGAAAAATTTATTTACTGAAAGAGTGGTCAAACATTGGAACAGGCTGCCCAGAGTGGTAGTGGAGTCATTATCCCTGGAGGTATTCAAAAAACGTGTAGATGTGGCACTTTGGGATATGGTTTAGTAGGCATGGTGGTGTTGGGTTGACGGTTGGACTTGATGACCTTGGAGGTCTTTTCCAACCTTAATGATTCTATGATTCTATACAGGAGTCTCTGCTCAAGTGTCAGGCAGCATTTATATGTAATAGCATGATTTCTTCATTCATATTTGGCAAGTACTGTTACTGAGCTTTTAGTAACTGTCATTTTGCAGGCTGATACTATGTGATATATTCTGTTAGATCTAAAAGCTGCTATAAAATTTACCTTGACATAAAATCTGCTTCCCACCCATACTATCCATGCTCAGTGTCCTGGTGTGAGATTCTAAAATGTGAAGGTATGAGGTTTTGGTTAACAATTGTCTACTCTATTTTTGGTCTAGCTATTTCTAAGCAATAGTGCCTGTAACTGATTTGGGAACAGTTTGTAAACTCTTTAATTTGTGTCTTCTGCTTCTGTGCGTGCAGGTTATGAAATAATCTCTTTTTTTACAAATATGACCTAAAAATAAGCATGCACTGTTTATAAGATGCAGTAGTGTGAGATAATGTAGTCAATGGC